CAAAGGTCAGCATCCTAGTTATGTTTCGAAGATGGACTTGCAGATGAGACAAAAATAGCTACGCATCGGGTTGTGAGTCTATGGTTGACTTGCAACTGTGGCAAAAAAATCAAGGGCCCAGTTGCGTGTCGATGGTTCACTTGCAATTGGGTTAAAAAAGGGTCAGACCTAGTTGCGAGTTAATGATGGACTTGCAACTGGGCCAAAAAAGGCAATCCCGAGTTGCAAGTCGAATGTAGACTTGGAAACAGAACTGCAGAATAAAACTATCGGGCCCAGTTGCGTGTCAATGGTTTACTTGCAACTCAAATACAAAAAAGTCATGCCCAGTTACGAGTCGACGGTTGACTTGCAACTGGTACAAAAATTCACCCCCTAGTGGTGAATTAATGGCAGACATGCAACTGAGGTAAGACAACTAATTGGGTCAAGTTGCGAGTTGACGATGGACTTGCAACTAATGCAAAAAAAGAGTCGGGACCTATTGTGATGACAAATCAAACATCAAGTCAAGTTAGGAATCGAGGGTCGACTTGCAGCTAAAGAAAAAAAAGAGTTGGACCTAGTTACAAGTTAATAGTGGACTTGGAGGAAAAAAGGGTCGATCATAATTGCAAGTTGAGGGTAAAATTGTAACTAAAGCAAATAGAAAGAAGCACAAAAAAGGTTAAACAAAACATCGACTCTAATGAAAAATAAGACGAAAACAAAAAGAGGAGAATGGGGAGAGGCAAAGCAGCCAAAGAATGGAAGTGATAAAAAAGAGGCAGCAAACAAAGCACCATGTATCTTCCGCTTCTACAGTGCAGACCAATACCAAACGACAAAAAAGAGGCATGAAAATAGCTAAGAAAAAACATAGAGGCCGGATAAAAAATGAGCCTAACAAAAATGGGCCGACAACTGGACATCATGACGACATAGAATCCACGAAAAAAAGAAGCGGATCAAGTTTGCACAAAATATTACAACAAAAAGATCAGACGGACATGCAAGTCTAGAGCGGGGAGACACTTACAGTTACGTATCCAATGGTGGACATGTAACCAAGAGAGTTGTGCGTCAATGCAACTGGGCTAAGAGGACATGCAATTAACCACAATTTCTTTTTTCTGCACTGGCTACAAAAAGATTCATTCATCCATTCCTACTCAAAGAAATAAAAATGTATTTGAAAAAGTTCATGAATATGAAAAATATTCATAAACTTCAATTTTTAGAATTCAAAAAATAAACATAAAAGTTCAAAACAAACAAGAATTTGCAAAAAATACAAATTCAGATAATGTTTCTAAATGCAAAAAACTATTCGTGATTTGAAAAATATTGATGAAATATTTTTTCACAAATTTAAAAAAAAATGTTTACAAAATTAAAAAATAAACAAAAAAACAAAAATGGGAAAAGGAAAGAAAACAAAGATGAAAAATGGAAACAAAGAATAAATGATGCGCAACACGGGTTCAACAGATGGAAAAGAAAAAACACACTACTGGGTGAGATGGGAAATGGGAATGAGAAAAGAGACACCGGGGAAATGGGAGAATAACATTCGACGAGAATACGTAACAAAGCTAACACTCTTTCAATTCTATAAACCTTGCGTAGGCTTGAGAAAAAAAAAGAATCACAACACAAACCATACATAAAACACAAGGCCACACCCACACCGGACGCATGTGCTGGGACACGGAGCAACGCGCAATAACTGAAGACCAGTGCCACGCGAGACACAAGATAGACACATGTGAAAAAAAAACTTTTTGCACGAATCTTGCAGCTCTAATCATGTGGAAAACAACTTAGATGTGACATAACTAAAAACATCTAGATGTAAATTAGTCATTCTGTATTTCTAATAGTTCAAAAATCATATTTTTATATGGGTCTGTCTAGACCTCATCAAGATGTGATACAACAAGGGACTGCCTGTTTTACATTCGACTGAAATTGAGTCGTATTTTCGGCCATCCAGAGTTTGACAACTGCCATCTGTCCTGCGCTTCCTTCATGTCCTCTGAGGCTCCGACCGTTGCTGTCCTTTCCTCCTCCATCACTGTTGGAAATCACAACATATTCCATTGAAACAACTAAAAGTTACTCCCTCCGTCGCAAATTTCTTGTCTTAAATTCATCTAGATACGAATGTATCTAATACTAAAAGGTGATTTGATACATCCGTATTTAGACAAATCTAAGACAAGAATTTTGGGAAGAGGGAGTACATTGTAAAACAGGACATTTAGTGAAGCTTAGTGTAATTACAGTGTAAACCAATTTTAGTGAAGGTTACTGGAAATCACCACATATTCCAGTGACATATTTAGTGGAAGTTAGTGTAAGTACACTGACATTACACTGTAATTACATAGAATAAATTATGAATTGAAATTACAGTTCAATTTAGACTGGAATTTTCAGAACATGGCATTGTAAGTAAAGATATTCAGTTATTAAGTGACACAAAACTTAAGTTGCATATAAAATGAAAGTAAAATTACCGAAAATTACACAGTTTTCTATGACAAAATGGTTCAAATATTATGACAAGGTTGTCATTGTAAACAACTCAGAAATGCATTGTAAAAAATTAGACTAGATAGAGAACACTACTCACTGACATAACAAGCAAGGTCATGGGGCATACCAGCAAGATGAAGAACATGCACTCCTACAAGTGGAGATGAAGACAACATGATTGATTTACTTGTGATGCTATTTGATCCAGTATTTGTCCTGCACTCCTACGGGTAAAATTACATATTGTAAGATGCCGCCAGAAAATGTATCTCTAGCTACATAGGTTTGCTGAAGTTCAAGCAAAAAACTATAGCTTTGCTTAAGAACATGATACTGAGTGCTTTTTTCTTCTTTAAATTTCGGGATCAAGAAGCTGAAACAAACGAAGGGTTAGTTTCAGAGTATTTCAAAGAGAGTAAAGTGTACAAACCATACTAGAAAACTGGAATTGCCCAACATACCGGCACTATTTACAATGCCATGAACACGGTAAAAAGCATAAAAGCTGACTGTAAAAATGAAAAATAAAAATACTAACCTAACAAACAGGCATGGAATTACCAAACAAGCACACACTAATTACATTACCAAGAACATAGTAAAAAAGCATTCAAGCTTACTGTAAAAATAAGAGAAATAGAGAAACCAAGTTTCTAGGCCTAGAAACTAGGTATTACCCAACTTACATACACTAAATACAGTAACATGATCACACTAAAAAAGCATTCAAGCTCAATACGAAAAAGCCGGCTATACATTTTTTATTACATGTACATACATACACTAATTACATTGACATGGGCACAATGAGAATAGCCTCCAAGTCCACTGTAAAAAGAGAAAATAAAAGTCTAACCTAAAGCAGGCTTACAAGATCAAAAAGGCAAATCACAAAAGATTACTTGCATGATTCACATAGAAGTCGAACAATGCTTTGCCAAAAGTGCCATCATCAATAGAAGAATCCTACAGATAGCAAAAAATAACTAAATCGAATAATTTGAAAGCGGAAAAAGCAAACTACATCAGGAATGGTCGTTAAAAAGCGAGCAAATAAACCTGAGACATTTTAAAACAACCAGCATCTGCAAAATCATTAGGAACTAAAGGCTTCTCTGAACAAGCAACACTTTCATCAGGAGAAATATCATGGGGTCCCTGCCCACAAGCTTTACACAATCACGCGATCCAAAAAAAAATCAGCAATGCAACTAACAAAAAAATAAATCACAAAATTTAGAGAGATTCGCAGTGTAAATACAATGACAATCTAGAGTACTTACATAGTGAAAAATTCAAAAAACACTAGAGTGTAAAAATAATGTAAAATCATATAAGTTACACATGGATATACAATGTAAGTACACTAACATAGGAAGTGTAATTACTAAAATTTACAAGGATATACAGTCCAAATTTGCTAAAGATACAGCGTGATTACAATACAAATTAAAGTCCAAATTACTGAACTTGCAGCGTAATTACACTGACATTACAGTTTAATTTACTCAAAATTACCGAACTTACAAATACAGTCCAAATTACTGAAATTGTGGTGTAATTACACTAACATTTGAAGTGTAATTAATGAAGAAACAGTGTAAGTAAACTAATATTTGAAGTGTAACTACTGAAAAGTGAAAATTAAGGGTTAAAATGCACATTTAACAAAGACTGTAATTACAAGGAATACAGTCCAAATTACTGAAAAGATGCACTGTAATTACAGGGATATACACTGTAAAACTGACAATTTGAATTGGAAGTTTCAAATCATATGACAGTAAAGTTGCAGGGTTACTGCAAAAAAAAAAAATCAGATACACTAGAAGTGACACATTACTGAAAATTACAGTCCAAAAACCACTACAACTTAACTGAAAAAAATTCATGCCCCCAACAGATTACAGGGCAAAAATGCACATTGAATTAAACTGTAACTACAACAGATTCAGCTAAAACTGAAATTGCTATTACACTGGACTACATCGCACTTAAGCCAAAAATCCACTCAAAATTAAACTGCATTTTTCAGCCAAGACAACTGAAAACTGAACTAAAAATATTTAGTCCACCAAATAACACATCTCATGAGACTCAACTGACTAGGTGACTCGGCATTTGCATTCATACATCTAGGGTTTTTTTAGACAAACTCCTCCTCAATTAGTTTTTTTATTATGAGTCCAGACAAACGGGGAACATTTGGCCCACGAACTCAAGTCCAGCCCAAACTGGCACCCACGGCGCCACGCACCAAACCAGACACGCGGGCTGGCTGTGGGAGGAGCAGCCGAGCACCTCGTCTCCTATTCTCCCTCCCCCGATTCCAAGCGGCGGCGGCGAGCGATTCCAGGTCCGGCGGCCGGCCCTCTCCCCTCCCCTCGGCCTCCGGCCATACCCGGCTCATTCTCTAACCACCGCCGAAGAACCTCTCCTCCTCGACCCACTTCCCCCTCGGGCATCCCAGCGGCGCGGCAATGAAGCACCGCCGGCGGTCGAAGCAGCAGAAGCTCGACTCCGTGCCTCCCCCTGCGTCCCCGGCCGCCCGCGCTCCACGCCCCATGCCAAGCCCGAGCGCCAGCCCCAAAAGCCCCGCCCTCGCCACTCCTCCGCCGGAGCAGGCGCCGGAAGTGGTAGTCCCCGAGGACTGGGCCATGGCCACCGACGTCATCTCCTCCGACCTCTCGTCTCCGGTTGTCCTCGTGTGCGGCCCCTCCAACAGCGGCAAGTCGACCTTCACCCGCCTCCTCCTCAACAAGCTGCTCCCCAGGTGAACATCGGAATCCAATTCATGACGGCTAATTTAGCACCAGTTCCATGCTGTGTTATGTAACTGCTCGTGTGCTGTGCTGTTCTGCAGCTATGGGAGGGTCGGGTATCTGGACACCGACGTGGGGCAGCCGGAGTTCTCGCCGCCGGGGTGTCTCTCTCTGCACATCGTCGATGAAGCTATCACAGGTTCATACACGGTGCATAGCGATAGGGTGTTAGTGGATAGGATAGGATTTTATGTTGGGGCGTTAGTGGTATGCTAGTTCCTCAGGTCACTGACATGTTGGTTATTTTTCTATGCAGATATGCAGAACCCGGTTCTGCGGGAGGCAGAAAGGTGTGAAATTCTCTCTCTTTCTTCTAGCTTGCGAAGTGATTAATAGCGATTACTAGTTGGGCTTCTTGGGTTTAGGAATCTGTGCTTACTGCTTAGTAAGTTCTTGCTGTGATGTTTTAAATAATGCCCTCAGGTGTGGCATTCTTTTAATTCTAAGGGAGCAGTTTCTGGCCTCCTGGTCCTGACATTTCTAGAAGTGCACTCAAATGTTTAAATTCACATGATAATTGATGTTTAAGAGCAAGGTTTTGTGCTATAAGTGCTTCGGAATAAAAGAGCAACTTAACCAACAAAACTTCCAAGGGCATACTCCCTGGGATTGCAACTTTAGGTCGTTTCAATATTTCAGCCAGCCAAACATTCTTAATTTTGACCATCACTGTGAAATGTTTTACAACCATTGATAACATGAACTTTATATTATATATCAGTTACCAAATATTCGTTTGTAATGTCTTCTTATTTTTGTTTGAAGTGGCATATTTTTTTAGAAATTGATGGCCACAGTTTCACCGTGGAAAGTGTGTCAATGTCCAGAACGACCTACATTTGTGGTCAGATAGAGTACATCATAAACTATGTTTAGCTGTTGGTGTTAAGTTATCTGTCAACAATCAATATCCTTCTCTCTTCGATCTGTTGCTCACCAGTTCTCTTAATGCATGTTCTGTGTTATTATTGTTATTTGTGCATACAACAAATTCCTGTCAATCATGATAGTAGGTTTTAGAGTCTTTGGAACTGTCAATGTGCTATTTGTGTCACTAGGTAGCCTTTTAGATTCCGCTGAAGAAACATTTTCAGTTTAGTATTTTTTTTAACTTAGTTTCCTTTCTAATGCCTGCATTTCTTTTTGTAAAACCCATCAGGTGCTGCTTCTACGGCGATATATCTTCAAAAGGAGATCCAGAATCATATCTGAACTCTTTATTTCTCTTGTATAACTACTTCGTTGAAAAATATCGTTGTCCTGGGGGTGAAGTGCTTCCTTTGATTGTCAACACTCCTGGATGGGTGAAAGGTATATGTTAACAATCCTCTTAAGTTGCCCAGCTCTGTTTATCACATTAGGGCGTATATGTGTTTTCATTGTTCAGTGTTCACTGTTCTGAAGACCCTTTGTTTTCATCTTAATGCAGGTACTGGTTTTGATATGCTTGTAGAGATGCTAAGGTATATCTGTCCCACAATTGTTGTTCCGATACGCACCAGAATGCAGAGAAAGAATCTCCCTGATGGAATGTTTTGGTTAACCGGTGGGGAAACAGAACCTAAAGTGATTACAATTGATGCTGCAAGTCGTGATTCCTTGTCAAAATCGTAAGTTTTTATATATTTTTTCCAGTTTAATGTTCAAGTAAATGTCAAAAACTGTTACAAGCTGAGTAGTTAAAAGACAATCAAATAGTCTTCCTAGTGTTTTGATGAATATGTAGAAGGCCAGTGGCCTGGTGATGGGGAGGCTGTTCAGCCTCCCTGCCCACCTCGGTTCAGTCTTAGTACCATGAAATATTCTTCGCATTCATTTGATGATGAATATGGGGACATGATGTCGGTATACCGGTTGAGGGTCTTCAACCTCCCTGCGTATCTTAGTTCGAGTCCTAGGAGCAACTTTGATGCCCATCTCCTGGACAGTTTTTTGTAAAGGCAAAAAACTTGGATGAATATTGTTGTTGACTGGCAAACAATAACTTCCGGTCTCTTGTACGAAGTACAAATAGATAAGATCAAATTTACAGAAAGCAAATGAACAATGAGTACTGAATTTGCCATACTTTCTCCCTATGATTCTACCAGTTTTGATTGCGGTGGGCGCCTCTGTCTGCTCCATCCCAGGAGATTAGGAATTACTTATTGTAATCATAACTGGAAGAATATTTATCTTTCTCCCTGTCAAATTTAGTCTAATACATTGAAAGATAATATAGTATATTTACAATCGTTTATGCCTGGTCATCTATAATGTTGTTGGTCCAAATACTTGTGCAACTATTTAGCTTCGTGACTGTTGTCTTGCGCTTCTTTGATGAATAAGCTCCCATTCCAGCGACAGATGAATTATTCATACTTATAGGCTCATATTCTACATAAAGTACTGTTTTTTTATTTGAGAAAAATATATTAATGATGTATTTAAATTGCCAAGATCGTTAAAGCGGAAAGATGGGGGTGGAATGCGTGAACGGCGGCTTGTGGAGTACTTTAAACAATGTTTTTCAAGTGACATATCACTAGCAACAAACAAAGAGCTTGCTTATGCCCTAGCGTCTCTGCCACCCTATGAAGTATCATTTTCAGATGTTACAGTTATGCATCTTCATTGCGAGGTTAGTTGTCTTTCCCGTCAACTATGCTCTGGAACATAATCTGGCTCACTTTTTTTTCCACTTTTAGTTTGAACCCTTTTTTTGGCTTATTGCAAGAAATACAGTCATCAACACCTCAGTAATTGTTTGGTAGTCAATTGTTGATACCTTCTTAAGCACTGGGCTGGACAATCCTTGCATGACCATGGCCTCTGCTTTCAGGATTAGTTATGTCATGACTCAAATGCGCTGTTTGACATGAGTAGAACCTCTGAATTAGCTGAAGGTTGTTAGGCGTAAATCGAGTCCGCATAGAAAGATAAGGTGCCGACCAAGCCTGCAAGGGCAGTCAATGAAATTGTTAGGCAGATAATTCTATATTAGAAATGCTTGTAGTCCCAACTGAAGTACCATCCTGAATAGATATAATTAGTTTTCTGTAACATGTTGAGCTAGCTATTGAATTACTTCATGACCCATTAGTTTGATTTTTAACCCAAGATCTTTAATTTAGGACATTATTAAGAGTATGGTGTATTTATATGCTAAAAACCGTGGGTTTTATTTTGCGTTGGTGATAAAGGATGGTGGAACGTGAAAAGTGGAAGATCCTGTGATTTCACCTCTTGGTTTTTGAAAGCACTGAACAGCAACAGACAAAATCATATTCTGCATATTGTTCTTTCTGTTCAGGTACCCCGTACTGAGATATGGCATAGTCTGAATGCAACCATAGTTGGCTTGGCAAGTAGTTGTGACACACCTGCGACAGCCCATGCAATTCCTTGGTGTGTTGGGCTTGGTACTCTCTCTCTCTCTCTCTCTCTCTCTCTCATGCACACATATTTGTAATACTGCACCTACCCATGTATTAAACTTGTGTGAACATTGATAATAGTATATAAACCTGCCCAGGTATTGTCAGAGGCGTCGATGTGCAAAGGGGCCTGTTATATGTTATCACTCCTGTTGCTGTTGAACATCTTCAAAGCGTAGATTTGCTGCTGCAGGGTCTCATTGAGATTCCGAGATCTGTTCTACAGGTAACCTTCTTCGCCTGGCGATACTTTATCAAGATTAATGGGCACTTTTAAGGATCATTTTGGTGTGTGAGCAAAAATATAGTGGAGCGTTTTAACAAATTATTTTTTTTGCTAAATCAGAAAGGAATTAGCATTAGAGTTAGTTATCTCCTCTCTACCATAATCAATTTTGAAGTTATCAAATTCTTTTTGTCACAAGTAATGTATACTTTGTCGAGCTTAATAGGCACTTCACATACATATTGATGGTAGAAAAACAATTAAAAAAGCATGGTCGATGCCCCTAATGCCACGAGCCCACGAGAGAATCAAGCTGTATCGCGTGTGTAACATATGGACCATCAATTAGGTTTTAAGATGCAACTACTAACTCTTGCTCCGCGAATTGAAATTTTGTTGCATCCCGCTTAACCTTCTTTCTGCTGCCATTGCAGGTCAAGGGATGCGAGTCGCCGTACATGTCCACCAATGTGCGGGACAAGATAACGGGGAAGGATCTGTACGCGAGTAATCTCAACAGCCCACTGTCCAGACAGGATGACGGCGATTCCGATTCGGATGCAGATACTATGTAAACCTTGCGTCATGTTCGTGTCTTCATTTTCATTGGAGATGTATGGCGCTCGGTTGGGCTGACATGTCGGAGACACAACACGAAATTTTGATAGTGGACCATCTTATTTTGTGTACCCAGTGGTGAAATTTTTGAACTGATTTTTCTGCCTTGTGGTATGGCTGTGCCCTGCCATACTTTGTAACAGAGCTCGGGGTACACATTCCTGGCCAAGGAAAGAAAAACGAAATCACGTTTAGTTGTGCGTTTTTTTCTGTCGAAATAAAGCCCTGCGCAAATCAGGCAGCTCTATTTTGCTCTTTGTCAAAATAAATAAATTTGAAAATCACTTCAAGATGCAGCCTATCTCCAAATCAGCTTATATCAAAAATTTCCTGGTACGTCGATCTCATATGTGTAATCGAATTTGGCGTCGATGGTGAGTTTTCCTAGCATAATGGGCAAGATTGCAGGAGGAAACCTTAATATGATTCGTCCTTCCCAGAAGCCAGACATCAAAACACCCAGGATTTGTATATCTGTTCAATTTTTCACCTAAATTTGGCAATTCTGGCTCCAATTTCCCCAGGTACAAATGCAGCTTTCAAAATTTCTAGAAGACGGGCCTCTAATCTAACTTAAAAAACGCGCTTCAAAATTAAGGTTCGCATGTTTTATTCAGGCGAGGCCGGGGATCATCCCCATTTCCATTAACGAAACATCAAACAACCACCAGTACGCACGAACAGACAGTACACACCCTCTCCCTCAGATAACCATACTACTAGTAGATGAAATCAAAGGACAGACACTCCCATCACTCATCACAGGAAACTCGCTACCCACTCACACTCTGATTCGATTCGACGCGCACACGATGCATCTCAGGCGACCTGGACCTGGATGGTCTTGGGCTTCTTGGGCTCGGGCGGCGGCAGCTTGTCGACGGTCACGGTGAGCACGCCGTCGCGGCACGCGGCGGAGATCTTCTCCATGTCGGCGTTCTCCGGCAGCACGAACTTGCGCATCAGCTTGCCCATGCGGCGCTCCATCCGCAGGTACTTGGCGTCCTCCTTCTCCTCCCTCCGCCGCTCGCCGCTGATCACCAGCACCCGCTCGTCCTCCACCTGCACCTTGATGTCGCCGGACCCGAGCCCCGGCATGTCCACCACGAACGCGTACGCGCCCGGCAGCTCCTTCACGTCGGCGGGGGTGGCCGCCATGGCGCGCGCGTCGCGGACGTAGGCGCGCGTCGGGCCCTGCTTCTCGCCGGCGGCGGCTCCGGCCTCGCCGTCCGGGATGTCCAGCAGGTGCTGCAGGGCGGCCATCATCGGGGCATCCAAGCCGAACACCATGCCCGCCATTCTCGCTCGGTCGATCTCGAGCTCGGTCGATCTCCTCGGGTTGGACTGCGTTGGATTGCTTGCTGAATTTTGTGGAATGCTTTGGTGGGGATGCGATGGCGAGGAGGAGGGAGCTTATGTAGGTCGCCGGAGGCGGGGAGTCTGGAAGGTGATGGAAACTTCTGAAAGGTGGTGGAACGAGCGCGGAGCAGTGGGCAGTCCTTCGACCCATGATGGAGAATGTTCTAGAGGTTCGACACTCAGAATTGGTTGTGCGGTAGCTTTGGGCCCCACATGTCATTCGTGGCAGCAGAGAGATTTTTTTTCTAGTAAAGGATACGCATAGAGAGATTTTCCTTTTGC